GATGAATCTTCTATCTGGTTTTCATGGTGTGGTTTCTTCAGGAACCCTATCTCCATGCAGAGAAGGAGCTTGGAGAGGCCCACATGGGCAGACCACATCTCCTGGCCCTTAGCTCTGGATGAATTTGCAGGTTGAAACCATTCCTGGCTTACCAGCCACACGAGTGAGCCCTTTGGGAAGGGAATCCTTCAGTTACAAGGGGACACCAGTGAACCTTGTCCAAATTGCAGATATGTGAGCTAAAGAAAGGAGTTTTTTTTTAAACCATTAATTTTAGGAAGTGGTTTTGCACAGCCATAGATGAGCAGAAGAGCCCTAAGAGCAAGAAGCAGGCTTCAAAGGCTGTATATTCCCAAAGAGGGGAATGCACACTCCTCTCCTACCCATGTTTCATATGTGGCCAATAAGGTGGAGACAGAGCAATCTCCTATTTGCTGGATCCATGGGTCAATGAAAATAATGGAACCTATTATATCTTGTGGAACTTATTAGAACACTGAACCAATAATGGCAAGGTGCCCTCCTGCCATATTGTTCCTTCCTATAATCCAGCTGACTTTGGACTGAAACCTCTGAAACCATGAGCCAAAATAAAACGCTCCTCTTTTAAGTTGTGTCAGGAATTTTGTCCCAGCAATGGAAAGCTGACTAATACAACCTGTGACCGGATATCCTACTTCCTGATGAGCACTGGGCAACACAGAGAAAATGATTTTTCAGTATGGTTTATAAATGAAAGTCTTGGAAACAAGCTGTATTTCAGTACAGGAATGAATAAATGCAGTCGTGTGTGGCTTAATGATGGTATATGTCCTGAGAGATGCAACATCGGATGGTTTTACTCATTGTGCAGACATTGTAGAGGGCTCTTGTACAAGCAGAGTTGGCTGAGATGTCGGTAGGTCACATAAACCTGGGTGTTCCATCACAACCATGCCATGGGTGGTAGGTGACTATGAATGGTTTATTCCCATAATGATATTTACAAAGCAGTTCAAAGAAATGAACTAGAGCTGCATATATCAACATGGGTCAATAGCAAAAATATAATAATTCAGGGAAAATATGATAAAGCATGATACATAATGTCAATGATGTATAATTTTAAAAGTACCCATAGCTAACTTATTTTTAGATGCATGCTTTACAATGATTGTTTACAATCAGGTATAGTCCTAATTTAACCCAGGGTTTAACCTCACTAGCAAGAGGAAGGACTGGCAAATGATGGCAGGATTCTAGTTTTTATTTCTTCTTTTTTCCCTAGGGTCTAGAACAATAGCAACACAATGCTTTTATGTATCATATCTTGGCAGTAGGTGTACAAATGTCTAGTATATCATTTTCTGTTTAGGTTGGATTTAAAATGTTTCCTAATTAAAAAGAAAATTAGAAAGTGTATTCAGCCAAATCAGATCAATATAAGAGAAACTGAAAGTAACTGAATTGCTTGTGAAATATGACTATAATATTGCTTTAATTAGACTTTGTATTTTCCATACCCACACATACATTTACAATCAATGTTAAAATCTAAAGACCAGCAGGAACACATATGTGTTGGCAACAGATTTCTTATTGTTACAGGGAACAGTGGGTAACAGACCCTATTGAGTGGTCTGGTGGGTTTGAGGGTTGGATTCTACTGCAGGGGATCCAAGCAGGAATCCACCAGATCCAGTAAATAAGGAGTTGCTGAAAGCCTTCAAAGTGACATTATCTTTAGAGCATTTGTTTCTATTTTGGGGAGGCTACATTTCTGTACCCTTTATTCAAGTCCACTGAAAACTGCCTATTTTATTATTCATATTGTGTGACTACATATTGTTTACATTCATTCAGGGCAATCGGTACCTGTATATACCATATCTTGGTCATCTTTTTATTCCTTTACCCCCTTCCCTCCCCTCCCCTGATCCCCTTCCAGTCTCCAAAAAGTCCTCCTTTTTGTTCCCTACCATCTTTTTTTATTTTACCATTTTATTTATGTGTGAGAAATTCATTTTGTTTCCAATTCTTATAGGAAAAAGAGTTTCTATGTGAAGTCACTTTAATGGGTATATGTGAGGTCTTATCTTGGAACACAGTAGAGGAATGCTGAAGGCTAGGTGAATTCAGCTCCAGTTTTTCAAGGAAAATCTCTGGGACCACCAACCCTCACCTGTCTCTAGTTTCCCTGGTGTCAAGTGGACTGTGCTGGATGATCTTTATAAATAGAATCATATTTAACCTTCCTCCTTACTTACACCTTGAAGATGATTTTTTTAACAACTTATTCACTTGGTTATTTTAAACATAGTGGTTAGATATACTAGCTTTTCTTAGAGTTTTATTTGGGAATTTTCTGTTTCACCAGAAGAATAGTTGGATGTGAAGGGGTGCTTCATTGCTTCTCACTTTGTCTTACTTTTGGGAAAGTCATCAGAAACAGGCCAGGCTCTCGGGGAAACACTCAGAGACAGCTTTCTGGGAATCCAGGGGGCAGAAAGCCAGGAGGGAGACACTGGCCCAGGAAATAGGGAAGATGGGCCAGGGACAGAGCCTGGAGGGGATCCCCAGACTGTGGAGACTGAGGCAGGATGAGACCCGCACCCCTTACCTGCCCACCTCCAGGGTTCATGGAAAAGGAGGCTGGGACAGTTCGGGGGAGGCATTTGTTTGCTGTTGCTGTTGCTGGGTGTATAGTTGGCCAGACAGGCTTATCTAGGATTCAAAGATCTGGCTCCACAGAGCAGCCACTACGGAGACACCTCCCCAACCCATGGAGAGCTGTTCTTACCAAACCCCTGGGCCTACATCAAGTGCTTACACTGCAGGAGGAGCAGCTGGACATCTGTCTTCAGTGGGGCCTGCAGGCTTTTCACAGTACTCTGTTTCTGCACCAATAGACAGCCCCACCAGGTGGCTTTCCTGCCTCCTGTATTAGCCGTATCTTCGATTGCCTACATTTTGATGCTTTGACACCTCAGCCTTGCTGGCCTTCCAGGGACAGTTGTTCCTAGAGCTGGCCAATTTGTGGACAGTAAACAAATCCCCTTCTGAGCTCATGCCTTTTAAATACAAACCAACCAGTGTAGAGCTTGGGCCCTGCCACCTACCTTATTGGACTCTCATACTTTGGGCCACTTTCCATGGCCCTTGTTGCTCCAGGACTGGGCACCAGACAGACAGATGGAGCCCCTGCTCCCTAGAGCCTGGTGAAATCAGGACTCTGCTAGCCAATCCTAAACCTGCTTGCTCCGCGTTGCCTGTCCTTTCCTGTAGACCTTAAGGCTAGGCTCTTGCCTACCTTTTCTTCCAGCTCCTACTGCCTTCTGACCCACGCTGGTACTTTCTGAGTCACCCTGCGTGGCTGGCCTACCCGCTTCTCTTGGAACCTGGGAGTCCCAAGCCTATCCTCTTCTGACTGTCGGCCTTACTGTACCCCCAGTTTTCTACAAGCGCACTACATTTTGGAGCAGTGCTGGCCCAGATTTCAAATTCCAGCCACACTTCCTAGAAGGGGCTCCGCTGACACATCTACCCCTCACAAATGCCAAATCTTTGTTTTAAGCTTCGAACTTCTCAACTGAGCAGGAAGCTGTTGTTGTTGTTGTTGTTTTCATATCTCCACAACCCAGGAGATAAACATCACAGCCTTGAGCTTGGATAAAGAGTTATTTATTCTTCTTGGAAAAGCAGGGAGAGGGGTAGCCAGTCTTGCCTCAGTGTGTATGCCCCTGGGGAACTGTTATCACAATGTTGGCCTCTGAGAAGCTTCCTCAAATGGTGGCAGCTTCTAGCTCACTCTGTCCTGTGTAGCACAAACCACTTCAGAAACAGCTGCAAGACACCCAGCTGGGCTGAGACTGCCGAGCCCATTGCCCACGGACCTCCAGCCCTACATGGTTCAAAACTCACTGCCATTCAACCTCACCCCCACCCCAATGAGGCTTTTGCTAGACTTGCTCCATTTTTAAAAGACAAGATTTACACAGATAAAGTTGAAATATGAGTCAGCCAGTCTTCTCACCTCCATCACTGTACACGGCTAAAGTCAACAACAATCATGAACTTGGACAAACTGCCAGGAAAAGAATCCAAGTGAAGTTTCCCCTCATCTATCACATTTATTTTTCTTTGTTAGCACAGTCAGCACATTTTGGGGTTTTATTTTCCACCCCCCAAACAATGCCAAAATTCAAGCACAATGAATTCTCACAATACTTTATAGGGGCTGATGGCTCAGGAACAACTTCAAAAGACAATGAACCAAATGAAGATAAATTGACCCTGATTTCTGTGCTTGTGTTATGAGTTTTATGGATGAAGAGGGGAAGGATGTGTTTTATGGGACTTGCAAAGTAATCTTGTGTCATTTTAATTAACTAGAGCATGCAGCAAAAACACAGGCACGGAATGGGGCTTTTCCACTCTTGGCATCCCTAGGAGTTCTGTAAGGTTAGCTATGGGTCTGTTCTCTGGGGATTGTGTCCCTACAATCGATACACAAGCCCTCTGTGGAAACACAAAGAACTAATGATGCCCTATAAAACTACAACTCAAAAACATGGTACTAAACCATGATCCAGCCTTCCTATCCTTGAAGAAAAGGAATCTTGCTGTAGAGGTTTCCCAGGGCAACTCATGGACCTGCAGGTAATAGCTCCGCATGCAGACAGTATGCATTTGCCCTAAGTGGGTCTCCAGGCAAAGACAAAGGGAAAGAAGTTTGCCCTCAAACTCCTGCGACCACTCCCCTCCCCGCCCCGTTCCAGGTCTTCTGTCAAGGAATGGCTGGTTCCTTACCCAGCATGCTTTACATCTTTTTAGCAGAGGTGTGGTTTTACTCTTTGTGTTATTATTGCCAATCATAAAATGAGACTTTCCACCTTGCATTATAGACAGGTGACCAGCTCTAGCCAGTGACATGAACAGACACCAGGGGGAAGACTTCCATACCTTCCTTCCCCTTTTGGATTTGTTTTTGTTTTTGATTCTGGAATGCAGCTGTGATGGCAGCACAGCAGGCATATGAAATGCAGAGGAATACTTCAGGACACAGGCGTGGATGGAGATAGGAGAACCTTGAGGACGAAAGTCACGCTAAGGAGAAGGGAAATCTGAGAAACTCAGGCTGTGTCTAAGGGTGACCAAGTACAGAGCCAGGAACAGGCTGAGCCTTTCAGTCACCATGGAATCACTCCACCTCACTCAGAAGCCTCCTTAAATTCATATTAGGTGAGTGAAACTGAGCCCCTAACTCTTGGGAGCCCACTTTTGCAGAGTAGCCCAGCCCCGCACTACCCTCCCCTCCCACCACGCACCCGCATGCACCCACGCTCTCGCCCTTGACTCCTGGACGTCACCTGCACCAATGCTCCTGAGTTTGCTCTTCCCTTCATCCTCAGGGAAGACCCATTTCCGTGGCTGGTGGCCTGTTCTTAAGAAATGCCAGTGGGGTCAACTTCTAGTGTCTCTCAAATAAGACAAGCCTTGCCCCCACCCACTGCTTCCCCTTGATCTTCTGTCCCTTAGGGTGCTCCGCCTCCCTCCAGTGCTTCTGCAACTGCCCCATGCATGTCTTTCCAGACTCAGTACTGACAGAATTTCTTCTGAAAAGCTCCTCTGACCTTGCTGACTCTGACAAATGCTTGCTAAATAAACGAAGACATAAGTTATTCTAGAATATTCTTCAAATTTGCCTGGATGAAACTGTTGAAACACTTTGAAGTGTTTGCTCCCATAGTGAAATGCCTAAATTTGGTGACTCTCTTCTATGTAAGGGGACAGCAGAAAATGCTAACATCTTTAGCCAAATATAAGCTGGGTCAACAGTAAAAAGGCCACAGTGATCCACAGAATTGGGTAAAATAACTCAGCATTATCTTCACCCATTAAATTTTGGAGTAGTTTACTGTGCAGTAAAGGATAACTGATATGTAACTTTTCTCTCCCTAATTCTTTATTTCCCCACTAATCAGTCAACTCCAGCATATTTTGGCATCTGAAAGATTGGACAACAGTTTAAGGGCCTGAACAAGATGGATGCCTCCCAGCTTTGTGTGCAGCGATGGCTTCAGGGTAAAGTATTGGCCCTGTGCTGTGGAGACAGACAGTGTCAAGGCTGTGGGCCAAGAGGGAGGATGCTATATGGCCACAGCTCAGCTTCTCTAGGCCCCCAGTCTTTTCTGTCTCACAAGCAGTCTGAGTCCACACAGTGTCTTCAAAATGCACCACATGAAACAGGAAAGTTCAGACCCAGTCACAAAGGGGGCGAATCCAAGAGCATCTTCTAACTTGGCTTTGAGAAGGATATTTTGCTCTTACATGGTGTTTCAAGCTCTTTTCTGTTTTCCTCCACCCTGCAAGGGACTGGGAGGCACAACCCCCTGATTCCCCTACAATGGGCTTCCATGTGAGGCCAAGACGTCCTCTACAGAGCCTCAAACGGTCAGGCTGATTTCTAACCATTTGCTTAATAAAGTTTGCCTAAGACCCAGGGGCAGGTTTAAAATACAACCATCAGCACATCTTGCTTTCCAGACTGCAGCTTCATCTTCACGTCTTTTCATCTCTGCAAAGGAATTATTTTTGATCAAAAGCCACTGGATTTATAATTCTCTTTAATAAGCAAAACAGGAATGGGGAGTATTCCCCAAGCAAAGCCCACCAGCAGCCCAGGACACCCCCTCTTTACCCCAGTCAAAGACAGAGCCTCCAGATTCCCAAAGTGACTCAGCTGTCCTAATTAAACAATCGGCTCCACAGCACTTTCTGGTGACTTACTGAGCATATACTTTTAAAGGATCGGTCAGCTTTTAAACTTAGATGAAAAATATAGAAAATTTATTATACAGGTAGCCTAAAACCCTCTTAATATGTGATACATCTTGCAAGCTGAGAGGAAATCTAAATGTAGCCTCCCTGCCTCTCCCCCGCCCCCCAGGGGTTTGGCCTCTGCACATGTGGTTTTAATCTAGAGCAATGAATTCTGCAGACTCACGTCTCAGGCCGGTCCCTAATAATAGACTGCCTCCCCGCCCCCACATGGGCAGCGCCTGTGGCAGGGCCCCAGAAAAGCTCCATCACGGTGCAATTTGCCTGTCAGGCCTCATCTTGCAGCAGCTGCAGCTGATTAGGGCTCGGCCAGGGACCATGTTTTATTTATGACCCACCTCCTCCCTCTCAAACCCATCAGGGCACACTCAGGGAAGTAAACTTAGAGACGCATCTAGGGCTGGAGCTTGGGAAATGCACTTTACCCTCCTTCTTTGCAAGATAGCCATGGCCGCAGAGGCCACTGAGGGGCCAGCCGGACAGAAGCCCTGTTGCGGGCCCTGTGTGTGTCACACTCTGTGTGCCAGTGCTTACAAGTAACACATTTGGTTTTTCTTTGTCCGTTCCATGATCGCCTTGCAGCCATGTCTATTTCCATGTGGGGATGCTTGTTGATAAAAGCACTCCTGCTTGACACACACTAATAACATCCCTTCAAATACTGCCCGCATTTCTGCCCTTTCCTCTAACCAATGAGAGCCATTCTCAGCAATCAGTAACCTCTCCTAAACAATCCTTTGGGCCAGGGGGCCAACACCAAAGCTTAGTCATCTCTCAGCAGTCAGACTGAGACCAGAGCTGGCCCCTCACTCTCAGCCTCTCTGATTGCTTCTTGGACAAGCTGTCAGTTTGACTTCCCAACACGGCATTTCTGAAAGATAACGCTGCATCCTTTATCCCTCTCCGGAGATCCATATTTATTTTGAAGAGCTTCTGGCTCCTAATTAAGACAGAGAGAGTCACTTGGTCAAGGGCTTTATGGAAAAGACATTATGAGCCAGAGTATTCTTCTGTTGCCTGTGGTGTCTGAGGAAGAGATTTCCTTCGAGCTCCCTCTCAAACACTCAGGCCCTTATTCATGTTCAAGAGGCTTGGGCTGGGTACTCGAACATTCAAGGGAGAGAGAGCACAAGGCAGATCAGTAAGAAGAGAGAGAGAGAGAGAGAGAGAGAGAGAGAGAGAAATTAAGAAAAAACAGGAGTTCAGAGGACAGAAGAGAAGAGGATGAAGCGGTATGCTCTAGATCTGCGAGCTCCATCTCTGCCCCAAGCTAGAATTTATGCAAAAGAACGCATGCCACAGCAGGAGGCTGTTCATTCAAGTGCCTGCTTTTATGAAAGTATATAAAATTGGTTGTTCAAACAGGAATTTTGCAGGCATTTCCTGCAGGCCATGAAGAAAGGGAGAACTGTGCAGCCTTTCTGGGCCAGTTTCCCTCTAGGCGTCCCATGAGGACGAGCATTTCTGGTCTTGCCATCTAGGAAAATCAAAGGGCTACGTGCTGTCTCCTCCCAGTGATACCCTTTGAAGTTGTAGTTGCAAAGCTGCCCTAGATTGCCTCCTCCAGAGGGATGTATCCAACCCTGATGTAACATCCCTGCCTGTGAGCTGAAGAAATACAAACTGGGGTCCCCCTACCCCCAAGTTCCTCATACCAACTATTGTGAGCATGCTGTTCCTAGAACACAGACTGTGTTCTGGAGGGGTACAAAAAGTGAGGTGGGAGCCAGCTTTCTCCCAGGTTTGTGTGGGTGTGCGCCCAGTTGGTGCCCTCCTAGAAGCTGGCCACTTGGTTTGCAGACCCCCTGTTTGTTCTGTTTTTCCTTCCTCTGTCAGCTTGGCTGAGCTCTCTGCATCCTAACAGATAGCTGGCCTCCCTGGGGCCAGTCCCCGGATCAGAGCGCAGTCTGACTGTGGAACTGCCCTGGGAGTCAGTCTCTGTAGCAGGACTAATGGTCACCCGGCTGAGCCGATGCAGACAAGCGGGTCTGGAAAAGGAAGAGGGATGGGGTTCAGATGCAGGATCGTCACAGTGTGATTTCCTTGGAGGTCAGAGGTGGTTCTGCTGTGTGAAATTCGGGTCTTTAGAGGAGAGTTTGAAAAGCAATGGATTATATGACTTTCCAGAGCTCTGGCCACATCTTCTGTGTTTATGCTGAATCCAGGGAAAACACAGATTCTCCACTGACTCACCTTCTACTGCCACCTTCTGAATCTTCCCTTGCTCCAGGTAAACCAGGTACACTAGGTGTGCAGGGGTACCAGGGGAGTTAGAGTACAAGAGGCAAAGCATGCTCCAAAGGCACAGTATTTGCTGTATTTCCTTTTCCTTTGAAATAAGAATTTTTTTCTCTTCTTTCACACCCAAAATATTTAAAAAAGAAGAAATATTTCTATGGTCAACATAGATATGAAAAAAGAAAAAAGTCTCATAACTTCCCATTCAATAATCACTTTACATACTTATACTGTAGAGTGGCCATGCAATGTGTTCTTGATTTTATATATAAATGTGTTTCTGTATGCAGATATACACTCTACAAAGCTGGCATTATACAATGACAGATACATTACAGCTTCTTCAACAAATCTCTTGTTGCTGGACTCTTAAATTATTCCTCCCTTATTCATATATTCTGCTACTGATACACCTTCATTTGATTACTACTAACATAAAATATCTTTGCCAGGTTAAGAAGTGAAAGATGATCGCCCATTGTTTTAATTTACATTTTTGTGTGTGACTCACACTTTCATATTTTTCCCCCTTTTCCATTAATGTCTATCTATTAGACTCTCACATTTAGGGTATAAATCCTTTATCCTAGCGAGTGAAAAAACATGGCTTTTTGTCTTGCCATCTGCTAGGAGTGTTTGATCTACCCAAGTTTTTGCTTATTTGCTTTGTTCTAGGTTGGAGGAGAGAAGCCACATCCATTCTGATGAACGGAGACAGTGGAAGCCTTGATATGGAGGTGGGCATCTGGTGTGATGTCCATCTCCCGGGAGCCAAAGTAACATTAACAATGACAACAAATTTCTTTTATCAGAAAACTTAGGGCTGGGGATTTAGCTCAGCAGTTTGGTGGCCTGCCTTGCAAGCGCAAGGACGGGAGTTCAATCCCCGGTACCAAAGGGGGGAAAAAAATTAGCACCAAGGATACATAACAGTTAAGCAGAAGGGCTGCTTCCTGGGCTAGTGACCCTGACAAGCACATGGGTCCTGCCTTCAAAGGGCCACCCTTGGTTCAGTATCTGCTGTCACTGTCTCGAAATTCTTGACAATTTTGAACAGAGTCTACTCTTTCATTTTTGTACTGGGCCCACAAATTATGTATTTTTCATTTGAGAAGCATATAAGTGTTGGGGACCAAGGGTGAAATGCTGTAAATTTGAATAGGTCCCCTCCTTTATCAATTAATATTTTGAAACCCTAATTTACAGTGTGATAGTGATAGGAAGTGGAGGTTTGGGGAGCTGATTAAGTTGTGAGGGTGAAGCCTCTGTCAATGGGATTAGTGCCCTTAAAAGAGACCCCAGAGAGTTCGCTCAACCCTCCTACCCTAGAAAGACACAGAGAAAAGGGGCTGTCTACGAATGAGAAAGAGGACCTTCACCAAACACTGGATCTGCCAGTGTCTTTAGTTTAAAATTATGAGAAGTAAATTTTTATTAGTGAGCCAGCCAGGTCATGACAATTTGTTATAGCAGCCCAAACAGAGTAAGACAATGATCACACTCTTTGGAAATGGGAATTGTAGGATAAAAACCAAACCTTGAAATTTGAGTGTAATTAATATAATGTAATTGAACACACAGAGCAACATAAAGGAAAACAAAACAAATCAAACCAGATCTTTTCAGGGTACGAGCTCAGGCAGTCTGTGGGAAGCTGTAGCCCTGGTCTCAGGCCTGGCCTCCCGAGAGAGAGTTGGGAGGTCCAATCCCCAGCAAAGAATGCCGGCCTTGGCTCTAATAACCCACTTGTTCTTTTTCTTTATTTCCTATCAGACAAGCACTTAGAACAAAAGGGATTGTGTAAGTATTGATTTGGTTACATGCTGTGGTTACTTTGATTTGTTTTTCAGAAGAATATATTCTGTCAAAATAAGGATTTGGGGACTACAATCTAAAAGGGAAATCACTGTTTTCCCATAGTGAAAGGCTGCATGGAGGGACGTGGATGCTCTGGAAAGGCAGAAATCAGCGGAGAGGCCCAGGAGTCATCTGGAAACCCTGCCTTTCAACAGGCTAAGGCTTTTGAGACAAGCAACAGGGCCATTTGCCTGCAAGGGGTTTTCCAGTTTTCTTTAGTATCATTCATGCTGGGCCATGACCTGTTTGACCAGCTACTCTGATACATATTTGCCTATATAGACAAATGTGCATGCTGATGGAACAGTGAGGAAGGTGAACATGGCCCTGCAGATGTCCTATGTGCCAGGGCTGGAAAACTGCTCAGATGCATATGTAATTCTATATGCTTGCCAGGGATGTTTTATGATACTCATAAAATTAAAGTCTTTTATACAATATTTGATATCTATAGATACAGATGAAAACAAAGGCATATTTCTTATCCCAGAGACAGAATATAACAAACAAGGAACCTTAGTTTGGACTTGTGCAGTCATTATCCTGCTGTTTTTATACAATCCAACGGGTAAAGCAAGCATGATTTTTTGAAAAAATCAAAATGACATCTTTAATTCCCCGAGTATTTAAAATATTCAGCAAAACCATTTCCTTCCATACCCCTGCCAGTATTGTTTTCTTTAAATGCTGAAGAAACACAGATCCTGTCAATTTTGCTTAACCTAGCCTGGAAGGACATGTAGCCATTAGCTAATGCAGGACCGGTAAGGCCATCTTCTAGTTGAATTTACCAGGGTGCACCCATGCCAACAACTTGCCTGCACAAAATATTGTGTTGCAGCCCTCTATCTCAGCTGACCCAGGGATTTCCAACATCCATTCATGCACATCTGGGCTGATATGAGCTAAAGTAACAGCCAGCATAGGTATTGTCACTTTCTGTTGACACCTGCAGCCCGTCAGGTAACTGTGGCACTGGGGACACAAGTCACATCCAGGATATAGGAACTATGTGGTCTTTTCACACCTGAGTGAACTCTGATTGTCATGACTCAAGCCCTGCAGGCCTGAAGCACAGTCAAGGACACAGTCAGTGTATCATTATTCTTATTTCTTAGTTATCGTTATTTTTATTCTTCCAGGGTGTTATATTTTTATTCAAAAGATAAAACACTTCACAACCCCAAGGCATGGCTGAGGTGTGTATAGTTGGCTGTAGTTTCTAGACACACTGAGGCCCAGGCCCAGGCTCCTGCTCTGCAGGACTCATGAGGACATAGGAGAATGAGCTGAGATAAGCACAAGTGTGAAATAAGAAAGCACTTTACATTCTATCAAAGCACAAACAGCACAGTATAGTTCTGTTTAAAGTACCTGGAGATGAGACTTCCAGAACTCAGTTATTAAGAGAGCTATGAGGACAGGAGCTGCCCACACAACAGACAACTATGCTTGCATGAGCATCTCAAGGTGCCTAGTGCCCTCTCTATGAGCCAGCTGAGATCCCGGGACAGGGATTCTGCTCTCTGTATCTAAGATGAACCACACTGGGTGCTCAGAATCAATACCAACATGGGAATGGCACTCTGGAGCCCAGGTTGGTCTTTCCTGTGGTCACCAGTATGGATGGTCCAGAAGGATTCATGGCTACACAGTCATCTGTTGTCACCACTAATGAAAGTGACTCAAGAAAAGGACTTTAGGTCCTGCCGTTGCTGATGGAGATGACCCCAGGGAAGGATTTCTGGACATGCCATCACTGGAATGACCCAGGACTCTGGGGCACTTCCACTCACTGATGGAGATGACTTAGGAGAAAGATTTATAGCACTGCCACCACTTATGAACAAGACCCAGCAGAAAGACTGTGGGGAACTGACACTACTGATGGACATGGTCCAGCAGAAGGACTTATGGACACTGGACCATCTCACACCAAGGTCTACACCCTGGGTGAAGAAACACAGGAGAGAACAGGGATCAGTTCTCTTTGAGGAAAGGAAGGATACAGAGCCAGGGAGTGCTAATGGTGAAAGCACATTCTGTCTGCTTCTGGTTTTGCTCTCCTGGCTTGGAGAAGGCAACTGCTGGTCAACCTGGTCCCTAGTCCTCAGGATTGGCTCATGCTGTCTCCACAATTTTCCTTCTTCTCTTTTTCCCCAAGCTTCATCTCTACTCTTCTCTCTCCAGCCTGTCCTTCTCCTGGCCTCTGAGTCTTCTTCCTCAAAACACCCTCTGGGCTCTTTCCCCATATGACTGTTTCCACACAGGACCTGTCTTATGACCTCTCACCACTGAGTCCCCTCTGCCTGCCTCTTTCCGATGTCTCTCCACAAAGCTCTGTCCTTGTTATTGTGCTCAGTTAGCCTTCTGTGTGACCAGTCAGGACACGAGAAGGACCTGGGAGGAAGAGGGTGAGCCTGGGTTGTGCCTCTCAATTCTGCAACCTTGATTGTCATCTTTGACTCTTGCTCACTGGAATTTTGCTGTGCTGATCTTCCTAACTTTTGACCTGGTATTTTTATTTCCATTTCACAGATGAAGAAACAAGGCTTACAGGCCTGCAGATCCTGTGAGCTGTGTGGTGAAGCGCAGACCCAGGACTCTGGGCCTCTGAGCTGGCAACTCTGGGCACATGGATGATGTTTCTGGCTTTGGCTCTTCTTGAATGAAGTGGGGTGGCAAATGCTGCCTCTCAGAGTTGTTAGGAGGAGCACATGAGCCTCATGTCCTGTGGAGTGGATGGGAGATGCATGTTTTATCCAATCCCATCTCTCCTGTGTCTGAAACTGGGTCAGAGTAGTGTCCAAGAACTAAACAAATGCTCATTTAAGGGGATCACATAAGTAAGCCCCCAACTCAGTACCCAGGCAGAGGTGAGCACTCTGTAAAATGCAGTCATGGGAGAAGGACTTTATATATGCACTCAGCTATTTTCACTTTCATCATCACTTCATGGTCAAAGCCCTCATTGTGGGACCTGGCTCATGCTTGTCCCTCATCCCTCGGCCTGTGCTGCTGAGGGTGGTGGCCACATGGAGCACAGAAAGGGCATGCGAACTTTCGAGCTCATCCGTCCTGAACAAGGGGATCTGCACAAGGAAAATCAGAGCATTTGCTGAGTGCTTGCTGTATGTCCAACTGTGCAAGCTTCTTTTTCTGTAATTCATTTAATTATGCCCCACCAACCAAAAAAAAAAAAAAAAAAAACCCAAAGGTCTTGGCCTTCTTGCTTGACGCATTGCTTAGATGAAGAAACTGATGCCTTGAGCAGTTCGGTTGAACAGTGAGAATCAACAGAATCCCAGAAAAATTAGTTTACGAGTGTTCAGTAAATGTTTTCATTTCCCTTATTTGGGAAATTTGTTTGTTCCCATGTGGCCACCGAGGAGGCAGAGTGACAGGGTCACCCTCACCCCTGTGTGTAGACAGGAGCTGTGTCCTGAGCAGAACTTCCCTTGGGGTCCCCAGGCATGAAATAAATGGCCGTGAATGGTCTAAACCAGTCCATACCAGCTGCACTGAAGCACAGGAAAAAGAGCATCTGGGATTTTTCTCCTGTCCCTAGAACAACTCAGACTAAAGTTTCTCTTTCTTTTTTTAAGTTAATAAGGAAAAAAAATCCCATATCAGTTCTTAGGGGAAACCCAAAGACAGTTATTCCTATCATATTTTGAGGAAGTCTTGAAGGAAGCTTTCACCAGATCATACCGGATTCTCATAAAGCAACTGACCTGCAAAAGCCATCAGACACCATCACTGGCACGGTGACTTCAAGGCTGAAGCACAGTAGCCCCACTGGGCAGAGAAACCTAGTCTGGAGCACATTGCAAAGGGCCCCCAGGAGTACTGCAACAAACACACACATGTGGAGGGAGGGCCCTGTGGCTTTGTTGCACCCCGCAGTAGGTTCTGGGAGGGTGCACATTCCCAT